TGAAGCTCTTTTCCAGCCTCAGTGATCCTGGGATTCTGGGACAGGCTCTGGGCCACCAAAGCCTTGGAGGGGACAGGGAGGTGTCTGGAGGGAGTGAGGAGCCTGTCTTGGGTGCAGGACAGAGCTGGGTCAGTCCTTCAGGATTTGTTGTATCGTTTCCTGTGCTCTGGTATGTTAAAAAAGCTCAGCAAACCCCAGGAAGAAGTGACTTCTCTGGCAGAAGAGGTAAAAGGGCTCTGTCACTTCCATAAACCTCACATACATAAATTATTGGCTTCTATTAGTCACTTTAGGGCTCAGTTGCTTAATTATTTTGATCACAGTAATCATTTATTTACAAGGTGGGGAAAAATGCCAAGCACTTCCAAGCTGAGCAGCGCAGCAGGGAGGAGGCAGGGCTGTAGAAGCATTTCTTTCCTCCCCACAAGTCAAAATGCTTTTGCTGCATGGAGTTACAAGGTCCTTTTTGAGGTCCCTGCTGAGAGATGATGCTCTGATCCACAGCCTTTGGTTCTCCCCCAAGAAAGAGGTTCAGCAAAACCAACTTCAGATCCCTGTGCAGGAGAAGGATCCAGGGAGAGCTCAGAGCCCCTTCCAGGGCCTAGAGGGGCTCCAGGAGAGCTGGAGAGGGACTGGAGACAAGGGATGGAGGGACAGGACACAGGGAATGGCTTTAAACTGAAAAGAGGCAGGCTTAGATGGGATATCAGGGAGAAATCCTTCTCTGTGAGGGTGTGAGGCCCTGGCACAGGTGCCCAGAGCAGCTGTGGCTGCCCCTGGATCCCTGGCAGTGCCCAAGGCCAGGCTGGACAGGGCTTGGAGCAGCCTGGGATAGGGGAAGGTGTCCCTGCCCATGGTGGGACTGGATAAACTTGGAAATCCTTCCAACCCAGACACTTCCATGGCTCTGTGAGTATGTGGGAGGTGAAGGGGAAAGGAGGCATCTGGTAGGGTTTAAGTGGATCTCTCTAAAACCTGTTTGCAGCCTGAAGGTATTTGGTTTTTCTCCTAAAATCTGTTTTCCTCCCAATGCCCAGCCCAAGAACACGCTCTCACCTCCTCAAACCTCACCCTCCAGCTTCCCCTCGTGTGTCCCACATGTTTCTGCTCAGGAATCCACCGTGCCTTCCCTGCTTCCCAGAGAGGGACAGGCAGCTCTGAGCCTTCCCTAATTCCATGAGATCCGTTAGAGCTCCGAGCTGCAGCTCCTGGTGGGGCAGAGACCGCAGGGAACAAACGAACAAACGAACGAATAAACGGCCCCTCAACAACCCAGGCCTGTGCCAGCCAGGGTTCCCAGCCCTTTACACACCACCCTCCTAATAGAGAGGTAAAATGGCAACGGGGAGAGGGGAAATATGCATTTTCTAATCACCCAGATTTAGGCCTTCAAAGGATTTATTACAACCTTTTATTTCCATGCGTGGAAAATGGAATCTTATCTCGCCAGCCAGCTGGTCCAGCTCCACTGCCTTTGGAGCAGGGAGCTCTCTAACAACCTCCAGGGCCACGCTGTGCCTGGCTGTTAAACTTGCTGGAATGCATTAAAATATGGCCCTGGGAGAGGGGGAGATGGTGCACTCAGCAATGGGATGCCTCCAGCAGCTGCTGGTGCCATCGAGCCATGCTGGAACAGCAGGAGCCACCAGGGCTGGGGGGAGAAAGGAAACCCCAGCTGTGTGTGCCATCCCTGCTGCCAGAGCCAGCCAGCACGGTGTACCTGGCACTGCAGAGGGGTCAGCTGGCAGGAGATGAATGCCATGAATCTGGAATTTGAGTTGCTGCTGTTGGGGAGCAGTGCTGGGGCTGCCTGTGCCTCACTGGGAGCAGTGCTGGAGCTGTCAGTGCCCCTGTGCCATGGTGGGAGCAGGGCTGGGGCTGTCTGTGCCACACTGGGGCTGTCTGTGCCCCTGTGCCAGGCTGGGGCTGTCTGTGCCACGCTGGGAGCAGTACTGGGGCTGTCTGTGCCCCTGTGCCATGGTGGGAGCAGTGCTGGCTCTGTCTGTGCCCCTGTGCCACGCTGGGGCTGTCTGTGCCCCTGTGCCACACTGGGGCTGTCTGTGCCTCTGTGCCAGGCTGGGAGCAGTGCTGGGGCTGCCTGTGCCACACTGGGGCTGTCTGTGCCCCTGTGCCATGGTGGGAGCAGTGCATAGGCTGTATGTGCCACACTGGGGCTGTCTGTGCCCCTGTGCCACGCTGGGAGCAGGGCTGGGGCTGCCTGTGCCACACTGGGGCTGTCTGTGCCCCTGTGCCAGGCTGGGAGCAGGGCTGGGGCTGTCTGTGCCACGCTGGGGCTGTCTGTGCCCCTGTGCCATGGTGGGAGCAGTGCATAGGCTGTCTGTGCCACACTGGGGCTGTCTGTGCCCCTGTGCCAGGCTGGGAGCAGGGCTGGGGCTGTCTGTGCCACACTGGGGCTGTCTGTGCCCCTGTGCCATGGTGGGAGCAGTGCTGGGGCTGTATGTGCCCCTGTGCCATGGTGGGAGCAGTGCTGGGTCTGTCTGTGCCCCTGTGCCATGCTGGGGCTGTCTGTGCCCCCTGTGCCAGGCTGGGAGCAGGGCTGGGGCTGCCTGTGCCACACTGGGGCTGTCTGTGCCCCTGTGCCATGCTGGTGACACTCTGAGGGCAGCAAGCAAAATCCTGTTAAGGTAACGTCACGGCCCCTCCGTTTTACTGTGTGCAAGCCAGCCATAACATCATTAAATTACACAACAAGGAGGTGCCTGCTGCCAAGGGGCTCTGCTCGAGATAAGATGTGGCTTGAGCCGCTGCCAAAGTTGGAGTTGATATGACAGGGAATTTGGAGCGGGTTCAAGGCTTGATTCACACCAGACATGGCACTGTGCAGGTAAATCAGGGCGGGATTGATCCCTGGGGCTCTGCAGGTACCTGGCACTGTGGAATCCTGGGCAGGATGGGGCTGGAGGGGTTTGGAGCAGACAGATTTACAGCTGCTCTCATGCTCAGGGCTGACAAGAAGCAGCCAGAGCCTGGCAGGGTGTGTAGGTGAAGTTCAGGGAGCTGTTTGCAGGTTCTCAGCTCTGCCATCCCCTCCCCAGCCCTTCTGGGGAGTGGGAAGTGGCCTGAACACCAGGACACTGCTCAGGAAGCTGCTTGCTGTGTGATGCCACAGCTGGAACGTCAGGAAAAGGAGGAGAAGAAAGAGCTGCACCATAAAACTCCACACGGCCTGTAAGAGCCCTGAAGCCAGCCTTGCTGGTCCCTCAGTGCCACCCACCATGTCCCTGCCACTCTTGTCCATGGAGGCTTTGTGCCTCTTGTGCCCTGTGTGCCCATTGTGCCCTTTTTTGTGCCTCTTTGTGCCCTTTTTCGGATCCTTTGTGCCCTTTGCTGCTGCAGGTGTGGAATTTTGCTCCAGGCCCTCCAGACCTCATGGATAGTCTGGGCTTCAGCTCCGTCTTTCAGATCCCTGGGGAGAACTCACCCAGCACCATCCCCACTCTGCCATCACTCAGCAAAATTTCTCACTGGCATTAAGGACTTTTCTTTCCTGCAGCATCTTCCAGGCAGGGAATTGATGCCCAACCAGGGCTCTGGAAACCTGGGCTGTGTGTGCAGAGGTCCCCTTGTCACCCCATCCTCCAGGACAGGACAACAGGAAGGAAATACTTTAAAATGATGCCAAGGAAGCAGTTTTCTAAGCATTTTCCATTAGGGAAGCTTTGTTTCCATCAGAGGCTGCAGAGCCTGCCCTGCCCTGGGACTGCCTGGCGCTCCAGCACTGCTATTACAGCTTTCCCTTGTGGCCCTGTTGCTGGCACTGCTGAGTTTTGGGGTCCCAGATGGATCCTGGCCATTGCAGCAGCTCAAGTACAAAGTGGCTGGGAAAGGGGCTTGGAATTCCTGTTCCTGAGCTGTTCTCCATGGAGCAGTGTGTGCAGGCACATCCCACAGCACCCTGCCATCCCAGCAGTGCCTCTGCACACCTTGGTTGTGGATTTCAACTGACAGAGAATGGGTTAGATGGGAGATTGGGAAGGAATTCCTGGCTGTGAGAAGCTCTGGCTGCCCCTGGGTCCCTGGAAGGGCTCAGAAAGGACCATCCCATCCCCAAGAATATTTCCTGCACTTCTGCATGTGTGATCTCTCTCCCAGCAGCTGGAAGTTCCAGGATGGCAATCCATGTTTTCCTATAACACAGATGCTCATTGCCAGTGCTTTGGAAATCAAAAACACCTGGATGAGCCCTTCCACCTGAGGAGAGAGGTCCTGCAGGTGGGCAGGGTGTGGTGGAGCTTGGCCAGGGCTGGAAGAGCCCATGGTGTGGCTCCTGTGTGTCACCCTGCACACTGCCTGACATGCTGCTGGGGTCTCGGGTTTCTGTGGTTGAAATGACCCCCAAGGTATTAGAAAATCTCTTTTTTCCCAGCCCCACGACTAAAGAAGTCGAGATTCCTCAGTTCTGCTTTTCAAGGTTGTTTATTTTCTCTTAATCTATTCCATTCTTTCTCTGACCTGCTGAGATCTGTCCGGCAGGTCGGGTTGTGGCACAGTCGCTGCCCTTGGGGTGGTGTTGGATTTTTGTACTAAGAACTACCTGTACTTTATTTATAATAATTTTCCAATACCTATCACCTGTGTTAGACAGTCTGTCTCTACTTTATTTACAATAATTTTCCAATACCTATCACCTATGTTAGACAGTCTGTCTAAATCAATCCAAAAATCATCACAGCAGAAGATGGAGGACAAGAAGGACAGGACACACCCAGATTCCTCCATTTTGGTTCCTCCTCCTGAACCCCCATTCTAAAACCTCAAAATTCTACTTTTTCACCCTGTGACAAATTCACTATCATTCTGCTCAAACTCTTGTGGCTTGTAAATCCTCACACAAAGTTGGGAATTGTTTCCATGGGCTAAAATGGATGGCACAGGTGTTTGTGACTCCATGCCAAGGTCTGGAGTCATGCAGGGCAGCCAGAGCAATGTGACCCTGGGGACAGGTGACAGGAGCTGCACTGACCGTGTGCCTGTCCTAGGTGACGCCGGGCCTGGAGGGACAGGAGGGGGAGCTGCAGGTGAAGGGGCCCTCGGTGTTCCGTGAGTACTGGAACCGACCCAAGGAGAGCGCGGACGCCTTCACGCCCGACGGATGGTTCCGGACAGGTACGGGGACACGGACAGCAGCGGGAGCAGTGCCTTGGCACAGGGACAGGGACAGGGACAGCAGCTCAGGGTGGCTGGGAGGGCTTGGAGAGAGCTGGGAGCGCAGGCTGGATGTGCTTCCATGCCAGCCTCGGCCATGGTGAATCACCGAGTGATGGGGGGCTGTTTGGGGTCCTTTGCTCTATAATACCGCTGCTTAATGTTTTCCTGGGAATTCAGCTTTGCAGACAGGTGGGATTTGTCTCAATTTACACAGGGATTGTGTCTCAGAATCATTAACCACCAACTAGAGCCCCCTGAGAGGAGGGTGCGGCCAGGTGGGGGTTGGGTTCCACTTCCAGGCTTCCAGTGATTTGAGGAAATGGCCTCAGGCTGTGCCAGGGGAGGCTCAGGTGGGATATCAGCAGGAATTTCATAATGGGAAGGGCTGTTCATTGGCAGGGGCTGCCCAGGGAGCTGCTGCAGTCTCCATCCCTGGAGGTATCCAGGGAAGTCCTGGATGTGGCACTCAGTGCTCTGGGATGGGTGACACAGTGGGGATCAGTCACAGGTTGGACTTGATGACCTTGGAGGTCTTTTCCAGCCTCAGTGATTCTGGGATTCTCTGATTTCCCCATTCCCCTCTTTACCTTGTGTTAGCAGTGCTGTGGTGGCAGCAGTCAGGCTGGGTTTCTGATGCCTCCTGTGTAACCTGATTTATTGCTGGTTCCTGGAGAAGCCGTGATTTATTCTAATTGTTCTCCCGAAGCAGAGCTCACTCTGCCAGCAGTGTCACCTCGAGTCCCCAGGCCAGGCGGGCACCGCGGGCTGGGACCGGAGCATCTCCAGCCCTCACGTGGGGTGCAGGGCAATCAGCTTCAAAAATTTTTTTAGTCAACACTCCTGATGAATATTTCAGCTGCAAAGGAATAGCGTGCATTAATTATTGCAAAGAGATGTCTTTAGGAGAAAATGATTTTGAAATTCAGTTTAATTTCATTGTAATGCGCCGCAAACAGGAAGGGAGTATGTGTGTTTAATTGGCTCTCGGGGGTAAGGCCGGGAAGATGGCATGCCTTTGTCACAGGCCATTAGTGATACAGACTGCATAATGAGGGACTACAATCAGCTCACAGCTGCCGGCTCCTACGGGGAGAGAATGATATTAAATAGAAATCAGTATAAATTAAACTTAACCCTTTCGCCCGCCGAGCAAAGCTCAGGGCTGGAAACAAGGGAGGGGAGCAGTGGCAGGAGTGGGGGGTTCAGGGTGGGTCAGGGGGGGCTTGGACAACCCCCTGAGCAGGCAGGTGACCTCCCTGATGTCCCCCTTCCTTCAGGTGGGAGGTTTGAACTCCCTTCTCCATCCCTACCCCCACTCTGCCTTCCTTCCCTCTTCTGCTCCATCTCTCCTGGATATCAGGTCACTGGGACTGGGTTTTTCCCAAGCCTCATTTATTCAGCAGTGCCAGGAGCAATCCCATGGCCCCGTCCTCACCCTGCCTGCCCCAGCCTCATCAGCAGCCTCTGGAGATCACTCAGAGGTGGCAAATGTCCTGTGGTGGTAAAAAAACCCCTGAGGGAATGAAAGGGGTTGTGTCCTGTCACAGGGATTGGATCTGGAGGGTGAATTATCCCCATTAAGCACAAACTGGTTACCCTGGAGCCAAAACCATACTGGCAGGATCCAGCAGAGGTGAATCCAGGCTGTAATTCCCTGTGTGTGCCACTTCCAGGTCATCCAGGTGAGTGTTTTACAGGTGAGGCTGAATGGCAGCACAGGGTGTTCCCAAAGCCCCAGCCATGGCTTTCCTGACTCTGTGCCAGCCTGCTGCTCACTGCTGACCCTGGTGGTGTCCCCAGCAGTGACCTGCAGGCTGCAGGTGGTGGCCAGGTCCCTCAGGGCTGGGCTTTCACAGAATTATGGAGTGGATTGGATGGGCAGAGACCTTTAAGCTCATCCTGTCCCATGAACAAGGACACCTTCCACTAGACCAGGTTGCTCCAAGCCCTGCCCAAAAAAAAGTGGGGAAAAAAGCCCAGTGATTGATGAATTCAAGGTCATGGCTCTTCTGAGAAGCCTCTGAACTCCTGGTGGTGCAGAGGGGATGTGCTGTTGCTCCCATCCTCTTTATTCCCTGGGATTTGTGCTGCTGGCTGCTGATCCCTCCATCTCTCATTTCCATCCGAGTGAATTTGATTATTTTTATTGTATTAACGCTGTTGACAGAGCTGCTGAGATCAAAGTCCCCTCCAGCCATTTCCAGGGAGACTGCTGGGTTTCCACCTGCTGTCATCCATCCAAGTGGCACCGAGCCCTCTGAGGCCGAGCCGAGCCCAAAGGAAAAACGCCTGTGGGCATCTGGCTGCTGTCCCTGCTGAGCCTGCCCAGCTCCTGCCCAGCTGTGCCAGGCCCTGCCAGGTGAGAGGCAGCCTCAGACCCTCACCTGCTCCTGAGAGGGGAAAAGAGGGAAGGAAGAGGTTTTTTAGGATGAGGCCCTGGCACAGGATGCCCAGAGAAGCTGTAGCTGCTCCTGGTTCCCTGGAAGTGCCCAAGGCAAGGTTTTGGAGAAACCTGGGACAGTGAAAGGTGTCCCTGCCCATGGCAGGGGGTGGACCTGGGTGGTCTTTAAGGTCCCCTCCAACCCAAACCATTCCATGATCCTGTGAGCAAAATCCTGTGAACCATGATCCAGTTCCCAAAACTTGGGAATTGGAGGAAAGCAGCAGAGAAACAGCAGCTTCCATGGTCATCCTGATATCCATCTATCCCTCCATCCATCCATCCATCCCATCCATCCATCCAACATCCCTCCCTCCCATCCATCCATCATCCATCCATCCCTCCATCCATCCATCATCCATCCATCCCTCCATCCATCCCATCCATCCCTCCATCCATCCATCCCTCATCCATCCATCCATCCATCTATCCATACATACATCCCTCCCTCCCATCCATCCATCCCTCCATCCATCCATCATCCATCCATCCCTCCATCCATCCCATCCATCCCTCCCTCCATCCATCCATCATCCATCCATCCCAGCCCTGCCATGCCCCCCTGGGCCATGCCCTGGCACTGCCAGGCTGTGTTGTCCCCACTGCCAGGTGGCTTTGGAAGCACAGGAGGGTTTGGGAGCGTGCTGGGTGCCCACCATGGTGCCCAAATCTGCCAGTCCTGCCGTGCTCCCCGGGCAGCCACAGGGCCTGAGAGCAGCCTGCTCCCCCAGGGAAGGGCAGCTTCCATTCACATTTGCCCACAGATCCAGAAAATTAGAATCTGGTGTATTCAGGGAGATTTATTTTCAATTACAGGTTAAGGCTGAGACATGAAATAGCACCGGGTTTGAAAGTAGTGCATAAATCCTGCAACAAATCCATGTATCCCTGCTCCATATAATAAGATTTTATTGATTGCTATATTGTATCTGTCAGAATAAAACTCTCTTAATGCATGCATCAGGATGGAGAAGATAGAGAGCTTGTTGGGAGTAGAATCTGATTCAAGAATCAATGCACTTTGATTAATATGTCGTTAAGAAAGTAAGAGTTATTTAACTTGTTTGATGCACACTGCAGAATGATGACTCATATCTTTTAAATTTCTTTCTTTGAGCTGCATTTCGAAAACCCCCACAACCTTGGAGCTGTTTTTCACATTGTTACATCTTGGTTTATCAGTGAATTTTTGCTGGATCCTTCTGCCCAGGTCACAAATGCCCCTGAACCCCATCAGTAATAAATCCCATGCCCAAAACACTTCTCATATCCTGTTGGTAAGGCTTTAGAGGGACAACAGAGTGGACCTGGTGTTTCTTTATTCCTTCTGGATGTTCTGCAGTGAAGGAGGAACTCCAGGGAAAACAAAACAAAACAAACAAAACCCAACAACAAAAAGAAGTTGTTTTTCCACTGTGATTACAAATCCAAGCACCAAGGACAAGCCCTGGCTGAGCTGGGAGCATCCCACTCAGCCCTGAATTCCCAGCTGGCTCCAAAATTGGAACATGCAGCCCTGAGTCCCAGTGCAGGGGACGATCCCAGTGCCTCTGCCTGCTCTCAGTCACCTCCTGCTGTCCCTGTGTCGTTTTCAGACTCAGCTGACACCAGCTGCAGATCCCTGCCATTCCCAGCCTGGCCCCTGCACATTCCACACAATCATGGAATACTTTGGGGGAGGAAGGACCTTTCAATGCCATCGAATCCAACCCTCCCATCATGACTGGAGCAGCAGGAGGGGCTGAGGGAGCTGGGAAGGGGCTCAGCCTGGAGAAAAGGGGGATCAGGGGGGACCTTGGGGCTCTGCACAGCTCCTGCCAGGAGGGGACAGCCAGGGGGGGAAACAAGGGACAGGATGAAACAAAATGGCTTTGGAGAAGGTTTAGGGTGGAGATGGGGGAAATTCTGTGGAAAGGGCAATGGTGGAGTCCCCATCCCGGAAAGTGTTGGAAAAACATGGATGTGACACTTGGGGACATGGTTAGTGGTGCCCATGGTGAGTGGTGCAGGGCTGATGGTTGGACTTGATGATCTTAAAGATGTTTTCCAGCTAATTCCATGAATCTGTGATTCCCACCCCTTCTGGTGGGAAAGGCAAAGCCTCCTGCAGCTCCCAGCACAGAGCTGTGTGCTGTTTGTAGGAAAGGCCCTGGGCAGGTCACCCCCAGCTCCTGCCTGCTCTGGGGCTGTGCCAGAGGAGCAGGAGCAGGATGCAGCCCTGTGCCCCTGGCTCAGCCTTTTCCCCATGCTTGGCTGTCCCCAAGGGAGCAGCAGGTGTTTCCCTGCCAGGGGAATTGCTCACATCCGTGGGTGGAGCACAGACACCTGAAAGAGAAAATACTTGAGGCTGATCAAGGCAGATTATAAATAGAAATGCATCTAATTAGCATCTTAATCTGCAGGTTTTCTGTTTGTTTGCAGTGGCTTTCCTACTCACAAATCCAGCTAATGCAAATTCTATTTTTACAGAGATGATTCCCTAATTGCAATGTGCAGGAATGATGTGAGATCCCAGCGGATGGAGCAGCTCCTGCCAGGGGTCAGCTCTGGGCTGGGGTGGCAGGGCAGCACTCAGCTGCTGCCTTTGGGGCCCTCCTTCCCACAAATGCCAGGGAAGGACACCCCAAAAACGCCAGGGGGACCCCAAACGCGCTGCTGTAGGAAGGGGCAGGAGCAGAAGCCAGACCAGGCTCCCCTTTCCACCCAGCCCTAATTTAAGAAGTGTTTCTAAAATTAAAAACATGAAGATGGAATATTTTCTGGTATATCAGCCTTTATCAGCCCCAGAGGCTCCTTACACACACTCAGAGCACTTTGGAGAGAGAATTCCCTTTTTCTCCTTCCTGCTTGAGTATTTATTCCTTCTTCTTGAGGATTCAGTATCTCCAGGCTATTTCCATTCCAGTATTTCCAGGTTTGCCTGGCTACTGGAGGCCTTGGGGTCACCAGCACATGGGTAGGGTGGAACTGGATGAGCTTTAAGGTCCCTTCCAACCCAAAGCA